AATTTAGGCTCTCCCTCTTCCTCAGAAATGAGGTAATGACATGGTTCCTCCCTCCCAGCAGTTGAAAAAGAGACTGAAGTGGTCTCAATCCTCTCTCACAGCCAGAATGGAAAATTCCATCCAGTACCCATTAGGAGGGAAGGGTCATTAGCTCAGAGAACTGGTGTAGTTCAATACAAGGGCCTCGGGCAGACTCACTGTCTTTAGGCTCTCCCTCTTCCTCAGAAATGAGGTAATGACATGGTTCCTCCCTCCCAGCAGTTGAAAAAGAGACTGAAGTGGTCTCAATCCTCTCTCACAGCCAGAATGGAAAATTCCATCCAGTACCCATTAGGAGGGAAGGGTCATTAGCTCAGAGAACTGGTGTAGTTCAATACAAGGGCCTCGGGCAGACTCACTGTCTAATTTGCAATTGGCAACTCAAGTCAGGGCTGGTTTGACCACTCAGCACAATGACCTTGCTTGTCACTTTAGAGCCCCCCAAGGTAAAAATCGATCTAATTAAATTGCAAGCAGTTTCAAGGTTATGCTCTCATAGCTTCTATTTCAAAGCCATTATGATTGACAGAGTTTTAAATGTTGTCACCAATACTCACCAGCTGAATTTCCATTTCCAGCAAATTCCTTCTTCAATACTACCTCACTCCATTTCCTCCAGTCTTTGCCGCCTCCGTTCAGTTTGATCGTGCTTGGAGGCACTTATGTCAGTGAGTTAGAATGACACTGATATGCTAATAAAAGATTGTGTTAGGAATATTTTGGATTTTCATAATTGTATTTTGGCTCATTTGACTGTGCTTTCGTCACGTTATCAAGTCAACTCTACACTGGCAAATTACTGTGCAAAAAAACAGCTCCTAGCACTGTAACTCCTGAGGTGTCTACAGGGGCAAGGCACTTAGTGCTCACTAGCTCTGCAGTTGCTGTGCTCCAAGTAAACCACCTCCACAAGAAGCGTAGAGTTTGCTGCGCTCTGGATACAATGCTGGGGGACTTGTGTAGATACTTGAATTGTTTGTTGTGTTCTGACTGGCCTCTAGAAATGGCCCATAATCCCTCAAGTCCCATAGGCTCTTTGTTTGCGGAACTCATCTGTTTGGCCTGCAGCATGCATGTATCCTCTTTCAGAGCTCCGTTTCAGACAGCCTGCTTGTTGTGCTGATTTGCTCCAGGACACAGGGAGTGGGGCGGTGGGTGGGTGGGAGAGAGGGAGAGGGAGACCTTCAAAGAGCCAGGGATGGAGAGGACAGGGCTAAGATGTTCCTTCCTCCTCCTACCTCAGGAGGGATTGGTTCCTGTCGCTATCTGAACTTACAAAACAGCATAAAGCTATGGGATTGGGAAACCTGCATCATGTGATGCTGACTACCTCGTGGCATTGCAAACCCTTCCCAAAGCACAATGTGGCCAGTTGCACAGTGGGATAGCTACCACCGTGCATTGCTAATGTGGATGCATTCCACCATCACGAGCACAGTGTAGACACAACAGCAGTTTCCCTGCAGCACTCTGTGCAGGTAACTACCAGTGCTTTACATTTGCCAGTATAGACATACCCTCAGACACATTATTAATTTAATGCTTTGCACTCATGTTGAGTTGGAGCAACAGAAGTCCTTTCTGACCACTTAATTAATTAGACCTGTTAACACCCAGTGAGGTAAATATTATCCCTATTTTACAGGTGAGAAACAGAAGTGGCTTCCCCAAGGTTATGTAGCAAGTAAGGAGCAAAGCTGGGACCAGACAGTGTCTCCTTCTCTAGTAATAATTCTAGTGTTGTTGTTTACATTTAAAAATAAACAAGCCTATTCCCAAGGCCAAAAAATGTCTGAGCTAAAAGGAAAACAGAACAAAAGGATGTGGTGCAGCAGTAAGTAAATGAGCTGGGAAATTTAGCATGTGCTTATTCATGCTACTTTATTTCTGATTTTATGAGGGAGGGAATCCTGATTGCCTGAGATGTAAGTTTTGAGGAGAGATTGAACAGAGGGGCTCCCTACCCACATAATACTTCTGACCTGTCTTCATTTTATTATACAGTTGAGCAAGAGTCCATAAAATGTTTGAGATGTTATTTATTATTCTAATGACTACAATGTTCTAGGCCACTAAGACCTGGTTCATTTATTTACCAGTAACTGAAAATTAATTTCACATTAGGCTGCCCCCTGCCCTTGCTAAACATTTGTTCACTTTTTAACTCTTCTCCCCCCCCCCC